AGATAATCCATCTGCGAAATAAAGAACATAAAAATATATATATAATATAATATAAGCTATTATAGGTTTATAAAAATATCGTGAATTTTAAGGACTTTATCAGTTCGGAGGATAATCAAAATTTATATAAAATCATTATATCAACACCTGTATAAAATTGTATATAAAATGCTTATACACATCAATATATTAAATGATTAATAGAATTAGTAATAATAGTGGAATATTTTATTATTCCCAAATATATTATTAAGATCTGCCAATGCTCGTTTTATCTTTATTTATGTAATTGTTTTAAAAAATTCAACACAAAAGTTTAACAAGATAGACTTGTTGGTCCGCACTTGAGTGGTCCACTTACAGCACAAATACAAAATGTTTTTTTGCTGTGTAGTTAAGATACTTCAGCAAAACAGATATCTTTCTATATACGTAAATAATACTTACGCTGGCGATCTCTCCGAATCCCGAAAGGAAAGTAGCAATAGGCTTCGGTGGATCCGTAGGGCTTGAAATTCTGACAGTGCCATCCTTAGAGCTCGTTATCAGACATCCATGCGCCAGATGTACCCCCGTTATCCCTTTCGTATGTTTAGTAGAATAAGATTTCACTAACTCGAAATCGTTCTTTGGATTTAGTACGTGTAACTTCGCAGTACTGTCCCCCACACAAACACAATCCCGTTGCATGCTCATACACATGGGGAACGCTTTGCCTGGAATCTAAGAAATACATCCGCGATATCGTAATTGCGGCTCTTTACGTGATGGCAAAAAATACGGAATGAAATTACTGTGATAGACTTCATGGTCCGTCCAGCTCTTTGATCCCAAACGGACACCGTCTTATCCTCGCTGGCGGACAAGATGTATTCCGAGTTCATGGCCAACTTAATCACAGCCCCGGTGTGCGGTCGATACTGTCTGATCGGCTTGTGTCCTGATCTCGAATCGAACACAAATATGGTCTTGCTGTACGAGCCGGTTGCAAAGAGGGCTTGCTCTGGACACGACGACACGCACAGCAGTGCACCAGATGCAGTGTTCCTGAAATATTTAATATTGATATATCAAAATGATATGCTCAAAATAATAATATATAATAAACTCGGTTTGGCGAATAAACTTTAGAATTGCGTTTCCGAATTATTTGTCAACAAGTAAGATTTATAGTAATTCCTGTAGGAAAAATAACTGTCAACGAGCAAGATGAGTAATTCCTGTAGAAGAAATAATTTGAAGGAAAGCAATTATTTCTCCTACAGGAATTACTTATCTTCTTCACTTGGATTTCTTATCATAAAGTGATCAAAAGAAACTGTTTTGTTGTATCGCATTCAAATAAAAAATTTAAAGAAAAATAATTATTTCTCCCACACAAACAGAAATAATCTTTCTCATCTAGTCTTTTTATCGCAAAGAGACTGGAAGAAATAATTTTGCTACCGCTTACATCTCGTAAGTTTTCAGCTTGACAAGACCGGTGTCGATTAGCACCCATGACTTGACACTCTGATCCCAGCTGCAACTGTAGATCGTGCTATATATCGCTGTCAGATCCCAGATCCATCCGTTATGCGCGGAATCTATGCAGACAGTGCTCCCATTCTCGCGAGAGGGTGATTTCTCGTGTGAAGGAAGTTTCCAGTAAAGCAGGGTGCGATCTCTTGCACCAGCTATACATATGGTTCCATTCTGAGAATAAAAATCATCAATATATCGTTATAAATATGTTAAGAAATAACAGAAACATTATGTAAAAAATTAATACAAAGAATATAACACTAACATAATATTTAAGCAAATTTGCTAAAGCATATTACTTTAATAAAATTAACATTTTTATTAAATGTATGCATTTTATTCATTTATTTTAGAATTTATACGTTTTAAAGTATATTATTTTTAAGTTGCTTGTTCATCAAATTGTGTTATTTTAACACTAAAAAATGTTGAATATTTAAAAACCACAATCGCATTATGTTAAAGTACACTCAGATCAATTACAATCACATTATGTTAAAAAAAACACTCAGATATGTTAAAAATTCAACACAAAAAGATTAATAAAGATCTGCGGTTTTAACACAAATATAAAATATTTTTTACTGTATAATTTTTAATATACTACCTACGTGCATCAGTAGCAGAGCATCCACTGTGCTGTACTGTGGGTTCGCAATTATAAGTTTCTCCATTAAGGAACCCTTCCATAGTGCTGTTTGTTTCTCGATCGCAACGCATGATAATTTCCAAAACAATTTGTCAGGTCTCGCTGAAATATCATATAATACTTCTTATATCAAAGAAATAAGAGAAAAATTTCCTTGTATTATGATATATATAAATATGAATAAATGCATATACATACAATTTGAATTAACAAATAAACAAGCACATTCTTGATTGAGATTTCTATTCAAGTTCTTATTTTATGTATATCAGGTTATTGCAATAAACAGAGTTGCTCAAACTTGTTGATTTCTTATAAATGAGAAATGTAATTATATATTTTTTATAAGACACTTAAAAAAAATGTTTTTCAAGACAAAGGAAAATGAGATGCAAAAACAAAATAAAATCTGACACGATATAAGCAACTGATATATGTACAACCTACATATGCATGCGCAAGTTCAAACAGCACTGGAGCAGAATATAGACTGTGTTTCATTTATTTACAAAATGAGTGGTCGTGCAAGGCGTAAAGTGCTATCAATTTGAGCTAACCAGGACGCAAGAGTGGATAGCTAGCATCTGGCCATATATGGTTAATTCGCGCTTTCCACAATGAATCATCCTTTAAAATCAGGTAGAACTGTTTGCACACTAGGCTCAAACCGTGTACTAATGTCGACGCCTCTAAGAAGGAGCATATATGCAGGAATATCTGAAATGTAGCACAATAACAAATTAAACGCGCAATCAAACAGATGCTGCGATCGGAATGAATGAGAGAGAAAGTTCACTTCACTCCATTGAAAAGCGACTATTGACGAGATAATAGCGGCGATAAAAAAAAAATTAATTTTACGCGAGTGAAAATCTCAGTGGTTTTTTGTTTCGTTTTGTACAAACCTCGACTGGAAGATCAAGCAGTGATAGTTGTGCATCATCCTCACTGTCGTACGAGCAGCTTGCATTTTCGTCATTCATTTTTCGTCGAACCGTACAAATCTGAGTATTTTCATCCAATCTGCTCAAGATTAACGATTCAACAAAAACTGAGAGCGTTCTAATCACAGATGTTTACGATGCTTGATATGTCGTGTTATTAAATATAACGATCATCTGCTATCAAGTACCTTATACAGCTAATTGTAGGAATACACAATACATCGCTGTACCAGAGAGAAACCTAAGAGAGGATGTGAGGGCCTTTTTCCAGTAACCACAAAATGCTGCCGCGCACTACTGCCCTCTGAAGAAGTGGATGTAAACTATACAACAATATCCATTTTTTTGCGGTGCTCCTGATGGAAATAAATCACTGAAATCGCTGAAATAACTAAAATCTATCAAATTAATATTCTGGTTTCTCTCTGCCTGTATTCAATCAGATTTTGTATTTAAGATCGTCTTAAGATACAGTCTAAAAATGTCATGAACCAATCAGAAAGCCGTATTAGCATCTTAGGACATTATTTAAGATGGTCTTAAAATAAGAACCGATTATGAATACAGTCTTAATGCTTATTGTGAACTGAATACGATGAGAGATCAACAACGAGTGATATCCAATAAAAATGCTTTGTAAACATAAATGAAGACACATCAGATCTCTCTCTCCTCTCTCTCTCTCTCTCCTCTCTCTCTCTCTCTCTCTCTCTCTCTCAAAATTTTTTATGAAATTTGTGAAATTCTATGGGGCAAATTAAAAATTGTACACAAATGCGGTTACAGTTTTCGAAAGAGTGAATCTTTACTTTTAATGTTTTTTTTTTATGAAGTTTTGCATGCTTTTTTTCTCCGAGTTATTCAACATTGAAGCAAAAACGACCCTTTTTGTTTCGATGTTGAATAACTCGATGAAAAAAATCGTACCGAGATCAATAAAAAAGCAAATTAAAGCTCAAGAATCGCTCTTTCAAAAACTGTAAACTACATTTGTAATTTACAATTCTTAATTTACAATTAATAATCAATAATTTGCAATTTTTAATTCGTGCCGTAAAATTTCGCAAATTTTGTAACAAATTTTGAGATCTGATGCGTCTTCATTTATGTTTGTGTAATTTCATAAAATATCAATAAAACCGATTTTTTAAGTACTGATCTGAAAAGTACAGATTTCAAGCTGTAGAATGTTTGTTTAGACATTTCGATACAATAATTTTTTACGAAGTTATTTTATCTTAAAGTTTACCTACTTTTGTAGAGTAGAACAGGTGATCCTTTAAGTAGTGTACCTTTAAAATATCTAATTTTAATTAAATTGTGAAAATTTAAAAGTAACATATATATATATATATAGGTATTTAAATATACGAATAATATGGGAGTTTTAAAAATGACACATATATAGATATTTAAATATAGAAATATAGAAATTTCTGAAACATAGCGGACCAATCAATGCGCTACTTTATCATATTGCAATTTGCAATTTGAATAAAGTTGGAATTCTTCTAATTGTAAACAAACTGTATTTAATTTAAAGTAGTACAGTAAATTTAAATGAATAGAAAAGAATCAATCTGAGGCCCTCCACCACCCCCGCCAATTTTTGACGGCGGTCCTCTTTTTCTCAGCAAACACTAAGTTATGTGTAACACACACACACACACACACAATTAATATAACTGTAGAATAACACACGTAATATATTAAAGTTATATTCTTAAAAATTACAACTAATTGTAAGAGGTACGTTACGTGTAACTTGAGTTACTGAATTTGAATGTCTTTATGTATTACATAAAGACGAATTTAATATTTTCTTGCAATGTATTTATTTGATACTAAAATAAAAAGAACAGAAATAATTATAATATACGAAGTAATTAGGCAATACACAATATAATAAAATATAATACAACACAAAAATAGACTTGAATCTTTTCATATGAAATATAAAATATATAAATTGCTTATATATTTTTACAACATTTTTGCTTATATCTATAAGATACCTCGTACAAAATGCATGCACATCATAACACAAAATTCGCGTATATTTCAAGAAAATCCGAATTCTGGTTCTGCAATAACAGTCTTTACGTTTTTATTTAATAAATCTTTTAATGATACAATATTTATTAATGGGTCCTTAAATAAAAATTTCAATTTCGTATCTCCTACTAGAAATAAAAATTGTTGAATTTTAAGAAACTTGAAATTAAATATTCAAACAAGTTAATTTAGCGAATTTTGTCTTATAATATAAGGGTTTGCATAAAAATGAAATTACAAAATTATGTTTTTTTTTTAAGTTTTTTATGTTAATTTTCAGTCCCCGTTTTTACTAAACATAATTAATTACTAGTATGTAGGAATAATCCAAATTACTAGCAATTATAGAGACTTTAAATATAATTCAAACTTTTCAATCATATATTGTTAATTTGAGGTTTAATTTAATAAAAACGAGTTAGAGGCCCTCCACCACCCCCGCCGATTTTATCGGCGATCGTCTTTTCTTTGTAAGTATATTAACCCGTAAAAAAATGGGCTACTAATAAATTCACTAGTCCGTTTTTGCAGGGATATTTTAAATTTATTTTTTATTTTTATGTCTCTCTAATTATTTTGTATTTTTAATTATTATTGTATTTTCCATTGATTATACTTCATTATGATTAGCGAAATACGATAAAATAATTAGCAATCATAATGAATAACTTTTTTAATGTTATTTTTTATTGTAATTCTTTATACATACAATAATAATTGTTTACAAAGTACAATTATATAATAAATTCGATATATAATAAAAATTATATTATAGAAGCATAATTAAATTTAATAATACGGAATTATACAAAAACGTCGAAAATATATACGATAACACAAATTTTTCTAAACCAGTATTTAATGAAATATTGAGAAAAGCGAAATGAAATACTAACAACAATTAAACCGTATTTACTATTACTTATTAATTTGCGATATATTATAAAACTTATTAATATCGTGATAAAAAGTCATTAATATATTCACGACAGCATTTTCATCGCGTTCAAGATAATTATCCATACTAATAATAATTTGATTACATCAAAATCCCTTCGCCTTGTGATATGCTAGTTAACATCAGATACAAAGAAGAACAATCTTCATAGTGAAGAGTAAACTAAATATATTCTGATTCTACGTCAAATTCACAAGATCCATTCGCAAAGAAAAGTTAAGCAATCCGTCAAAGACCAGCGATCTTGTTACAAGAAGATGTAAATCCCAAATCTTTCAGATCATTTACGATAGTAATAATTTCTGTAGAATGTCAATTAACATTTTTATTGCATCTTTAATGTAATATTAAAATTTGGCGAGAAAATATGTTCTGCTACACATTACTAAAAATTATCTCTTATTAAAAATAAATGGATTGATTTCTTTCTTTATGGAATAGTTACGAAAGAATATATTTAATAATAATAAAATACATGCGTTATTGTAATTTTTTATATGTATGTATACAAAAGTTTCTTAGGTACCAACTGTTCGAGATAAGCCGAACCCGATAATAACGGGATTTTAGAATATTTATAACGAACAATTTATTATATAAAATTTAACAATCCTTATTTTTTTGTATGTTTCAAAAATTTTAATTATAAATATCCCGCTAATATAAAGGTACTCCTTCGATTTATCTCGAATTTTTTTTGTACTCACACATTTTTAATTAAATTTACGTAATCACGTACCTTACAATATATTGTTAAAAAAATATAAAGTATTTTGGTAAAAATTATTTAAATTAAATAAACAAAAATCAAAATTTGTAAATATGATCTCGTAATATCT